GAGGCTCGCTTGAGCCCGGGAGTTGGAGGCTGCTGTGAGCTGTGATGTCACAGCACTCTACCCAGGGGAATAGCTTGAGGCTCTGTCTCAAAAAAAAAAAATACAGTATGTCTTTAGTAGTTTAGATATTCTGTGTACAGAGTGCACCATTCAGATGTGTTATAAAATCAAATTCAGTATTTACTATGTCTATCATGTTTGAGACTTCATGATTTTTTTCTTTAGCTTTTTCTGGATTGAATCCCTCTACCTTCCTCTCTTCCTTCTCCTTCTCCCACCAAATAAAATATTTAAGTATATAAAATACTAAAGCTCACATGTTAGGCATTCCACCTTCCAAAACATTTTTCAGGAAAGCATTATATATTATTAAAAGGCAGAGATTGCCTGAATAAGAAAATAACTTTTCTAATCATTCCCCACCCCAAAATATCTGAATAAAAATGATCAAGCCACTGAAGCTTCTCATAGTTTATCTATTTTTAGTATCATGAGCTTTGGTCCATCCAGTTGTAGCATGACCATTAAAGATGGAGAAATTCATTCGATTCAGTTCATTTACTGCCTTGGGCAAAGGCATGGCCTAGTGAAAATAGCACTGGATTTTGAGTGTAAATATCTGGATTTGGTTTTAGTTCTTTGTCATCTTTGTGATCTTCATCTTTGTCTTCATATAGATGTAAAAATATTTTAAAAATAATTAAGACTATATATTTAAAAATAAGGGACAGATTGAGTCATCTGGACCAGGCTTCTCAAATGTTAATGTGCGAACAAATCCTCTGGGGATCTTGTTAAAATGCAGACTCTGATCCAGTAGGTCTGGGGTGAGATCCCAGATTCCAAATTTCTTAAAAGCTCTCGGGAGATAGCAGTGCTGTTTGTCCAAGGAAAACAAGCTCGTAGATGCTGGTTCATTCATTTATTGAACATGTATTTGTCAAATGCCTATCAAATTCCAAAATATGATCCTTTTGTAGTTCATAAGTGTGATGAATGGGTGTGAGATGTACCTCCCTTAAGCCTTGTTCTGACCACATCACCAGATTACTGATGTGGGAAAAAATTGAGCAATATACACACAAAAACGTATAAAACCTATACAGTTTAAAGAATGTTGGCTGGGTGCCATGGCTCACGCCTGTAGTCCTAGCATCTAGGAGGCCAAAGTAGGGTGGATCATTTGGCTCAGGAGTTCGAAAGCAGCCTGAATAAGTGCGAGACCCTGTCTCTACAAAAAATAGAAAAACTAGCTGACATAGCGGCAGGTACCTGTAAACCCTGCTATTCCAGAGGCCGAGGCAGGAGGATCGCTTGAGTTTGAGGTTGCTTAGGCTAATGCCATGATAGCCTAGACTGGGCAACAGAATGTGATTCTGTCTCAAAAAAAAAAAAAGAAAAGAACCAGAATATTGTTAAAATAAACACTCATGTATGTACCATCCACTGCCTTAGAGAAAGAACTTTATAAGTGTTTTTAATGTTTTTTTTGAGACAGAGACTTGCTCTGTCACCCAGGCTAGAGTACAATGGTGCACTGATAGGTCACCGTAACCTCACACTCCTGGGCTCAAGTCATTCTTATACTTCAGCCAACTGAGTAGCTAGGACTATAGGCACGTGCCCCTACACTGGACTAATTTTTCTATTTTTTGTAGAGACAGGGTTTGGCTATGCTACCCAGGCTGGTCTTGAACTCCTGTCCTCAAGTGATCCTCCTGCCTCAGCCTCCCATGTCGCTGAGGCTACGGGCACCATGCAACCACCCCTAGCCTTGAATGTGCTCATGATCACCTGGGGATTGTGTTACATGTTAAAAATGTAGATTCTGATGGATTTGGGGAAGAGCCTGAGATTGTGCATTTCTAACAAGCCCCCAGGTGGCACAGACACTGATGGGCTAAGGAGCCCCCACTGTGTAGCATGATCCAAGATGCTCCTGTGGGCCTCTCCTGCCTTTATACCCATAAAAGGTAAGCAAGCACTATCCCAAACTTTCTGTCAATCAGTCCTTGCTTTACTTTAAATAGTTTTACCATCTGTGAATACATTTCTAAACATTATACACGTAATTGTTTACTTTTGCCTATTTTGAAATTTTATGCTAGTGGAATAATACTGTGTGCAAGTCACAGGACTAGCTCCCTTCCTTGGACCTTATGTTTTAGAGACGTACCCGTGCTGATGTGCAGACCTGTCGTTCATTTGTTTTTGTTCCTGTTCAGTTGCTGTTTTATAGATGTGTCCTATTTTACCTATCTTTATTATTGATGGACGTTTGTATTGCTTTCACTTTTTTATTATGACAAACAATAAATTGTGAGTGTCTTTTTAATGTATAAGAATTTCTCTAGATTATATTCTTGTAGAACTGTGGGGCCATGGTGTAGATACATGTGCAACTTTTTCTTTTTTAGACAGAGCCTCAAACTGTCCCCCTGGGTAGAGTGCCATGGCATTACAGCTCACAGCAACCTCCAACTCCTGGGCTCAAGTGAGTCTCCTGCCTCCACCTCCCAAGTAG